GGATTTATAGTAATTTTTTAAGTTAAGATAATATTAAGGAGGACTTGTATTACCTATAATTTTTTTATTAATCCTATTTATTTGATAATTGAATTAAGGTCTCTATAATATATATTTTTTTCTTTTTATTAATCTATAAAGTTAATATTTTTTTATAGATATATTAATTATATAATATGAAAAATAGGTTAATTATATTTGATATTTACAGTATATGTTTTGCTATCGATTATTGTTATATTTTCTTAGATATATATTATAGATTTGTTTATTTCTTATTATTATTTTAGTAATATAAACTCTTTTTGCTAATATTTGACTACACACAAAAAAGATGTTTGTAAAAAGTTTTATACTTCCTTACTAATAAAGTCTTTATACTTTCATTAAAATAACTTGAAGCTTGTCTTCATTTATCTCTCCTAACCTTCCTTACTTGTTTATAAACTCCTTTGAATAAAAACTTGAGCCTCTAGTGACCTAAAAAGACTTAAGTACATATTTCCTCTACTAAAGGCAAAAAGGTTCCAGGAAGAAAAAGGACTGACAAGTGGAGTGTCACCTTATAGAGCTGGAAGCGATAAGATATAGAGGTTCTGTTGACAGGAAAAAACTTATTTTCCACCTTCTTACATATTGTCTTATACCCTCTTAAAGTGCTTACTGTTTTTCACAGTTTTCTTAGGTGATTTTACCTACTTCAGTTTAACACTGAATTTCTGATAGCACAATGTCACCTGGTATCTGATTGGTTGATATAAAATATGTTAGTAGCTGAATATAAACAAGCTTCTATTGATCACCTCATGTATTCCAATAATGTCATTGGTAATTGAAAGAGAAATTAAGGATATGAACTCCTCCACTTCTCCAAATAAAGTTTAATTGAAATAAAAAAATCATAAGGCCATTAGGATGGGCACTAAATTTCCTAGGTGGTAAAAAGGTGGTTATTTGTTTAAGTTAAGACTTTCAACTTTTTATTATCCCAGTCAGGCAAAGTACATGAATGAGGTTATTTCCTTATTCTGGTTAGGCTATAAGATTGAAAAGCAGAGGAATGTAAAATATTGTCCTTTTCTAAGATTGATAATGTATTTCCCCAGACATTGTATAATAATATCACAATTAAGATAAATATCAATAAAATTCTTTTAACTAGGTGTAGTTGCTGGAATATATCAGAAGTTACTCAACAAGACTGAAAAACCATATAAGAACATGGGATTTACCATTAGTCAATTTCTTCTACATGGGTAGATACAAAATCAAGATAAAAAAAACGGAAGTATTGAGCAAAACACTGGATCTGAGTAGGTGATAAGTACCTCAAATGATCACAAGAAAATAATCAAGAGCACAGATGGATAAGTTCCTCAGATAATTAGAAAGAAGAAGAATATCTTCGAAAGGTTGACTCCTAATGAGAAGAGGTTTTTGCAAAGGTTCTTTGAAGGACATGAAGCATTTTAATTTTCTTTTTTTTCTTTTATTTTTATGTAGTATATTTGCACATTTTTAGATATATTTCTTTTCGTTTCTTTTTCCTTTTCTTTTTTGTAATTTCTCAAATTTAGTTCATTAGAGGATAATAAGCAGTGACAACCTGCTGGCAATAATAAGTAAGTTAGAAGGGTCTTTATCCAAAACTTGGTCCAGAGCAAAATATTGTTTCCAAGATTACATTTAGAGGCTGAAGCTCTTTTGAGAATTAAAAGCCATTGACAAGTGTGTCAATATGAGTCTTTTAGTTTAGCCATGATGCAATTGCCCTATATATTTTTATTGATTTTCTTAATGATTAATAAACACGTAGTACTGGTCTGACCACAGGTTTTAAAAAAAAAAAAAATATTATTTTGGTAATATAAAAAAACTTTATAATTGGTTATGATATATTGATAGTATTTATTTTATAAATATATTGTAATAACATTATTAATATTATTAATTAGTCAATAATAAATATATAAAATTATAGAGTTATTAATAATTGATTTATATAAATATACAGAAAGTATATTAATATTATTTATTTAATACATTTTTTGAACTTGTTATAAAAAGTATACATATCTATATTTATGTGATATAATATTATTGAAATACTATTATTATAACATATGTACTTTTTATTATATAATTAATAAAACTTGAATATCTCTTTGAGTTTTATAAGTATTTGAATTTAGACTAATTTATTGATTTGAGTTATTATTTATGAAGCTTCTTTTGATGTTTAAAAACATATCAATTTACATAAGTTTAGTTAAAAGCTTTGTAAAGTTAATATTAAGTTTTCAAGAACTTATTATGCTTTAATTCTTCTTTTTTGTTTTTTATTTTTTAAAAGAAAAAATTTATGCAGTAGAAGTTAGTAATTTTGTAAATACTTTCTTTTATATTTTATAAAATATTCTTGAACTTGTTTTTTGTAAGTTGTTTGATTTTAATGATAGTTTTTCTTACTTTTTTTACTGGTTTCTTTTTTCTCAAAAAATTATTAAAAAATTTTTTTTTGAAAAAATTAAGAATCAATAGAAAGAATTTTTTATATTTAATTATAATTTTTTTAAATTATAAATATAATATATAATTAAAAATTCAGTAAATATATAAATTTAACAAAATTGAAATTTTAATAAATGTCTAACAATTTTTTAAAAAAATTTTTAATAAATATATTGTAAAAATAATATAAAATTTTTTTTATAAATTACAACTAGTATTAAATACAAACAATTTTATTAAAACTTAAGCTTAATAACAATATTATATTAACTATATTATATAAATATATATATGTAAATTAATAATAACCTAATATAGTCTATATTAGATAGACCTATTGATACTATAAAAGTAGGCAAATTTACTTAGGAACTGATTAGTTAATATATAGTTATCAATAGCAAATCTAGGTTAGTTAGTACGAACTTATACTATTTTTTATGTTTTATTATACTAGTCTTATCTTTGTAAATACCTGTCAAGTAAAATTACATCTTATAATATTTTCTAAATATTATTTATTCAATTTTTAGAAGAGATATATACTTTCTTTATTATCATTTGTAATATTAAATTAGTTTTATTTAATTAATTTTTATTTAAATAAAGTATCAAGTTGGAATATTCAGAACTAGAAAAACAGAAGCTTGGATTCTATCAGAACAAAAAGTTTTTTTATTATAGTATCTATAAGAGATTAGATCAAAAACTTTTCTTTATATAATTATTCTGGTAGTATAATCATAAATCTTAGCTTTTAATTGATAGAAGACCAGAAGTTTCATCTTTATATAACTTAACTTAAATTTCTTATATAAAATTCAGATAATTGGATATAACTTTCTTAGAAAAATATTTTTGATTTTTGATTCTTAAGTAATATTGAATTATAGATCTTGTGATTGTAACTTGGAAGCATTACTACTATGCTATTGATCCACAGGTCTAAAATAGTGTAAATTATATGGTAAATATGTTAAATAATATAGTAAAAATTGATTAATAATTTATTTATACAAAATTATATAATAGAAATTGATTGAGAATTTATTTATATCATTAATATACCAAATTATTTATTTTTTTTAATAAATGTTACATGAGTGATATTATGTCAAATAAATATTTTTCGACTAGTGATAGTAAGTGAACTCAAACTTTTGAAAGCAACTATATTATTAAGATATTTTTTTGAAGATAATATAATTTAATATATTTATATTCTTGAAAAATTGATTGATTTTTTAAATACAAAATCAAAATTTCTTTCAATATTATTTTTAATATTTATCAACATACTCAATTTAGTAATACTATATAAGAAAAAAATCAACAAACTATAATAGATAGAAAAAATAGATAATATTATTTACCAGAATAGAAAAAATACCTGATTTTGTATTTCAATAGGGATATAATTTAACAATAATCTAAAATAAAACTTAAAGTATAGGAATAGCTATTGTATTTATAGTTTTGGGTCTAGCTACAGTATTTCTTTCCATGCAAGTTCTACTTTATATTTGATTATACTGTATTTCTTAAAAATATTAATTTATAATGTTTTTTTATTAATAAAAAAAAATCAATTTCAAATAAAAACTTACAAAAATATTAAATTATATTATACTGCATATATTTAGTTTCGCGAAACATTGAGCCAAATTTCGCTACGCGAAAATTACCACATGATTCAATTTACATGCATACTTTACGACATTTATAATACGTATGCACATCGTTTTTTTTTAATGTATATGCACATAGGGATCAAATCTGTTTTTGTATACCCGTATATCAATTTATGCATTTATTTGGGGTCCGAAAACTCCTGCCCGCCTTCAAAAAGAATTACCGGTACCCAAATGACATGAAATTCACGTTTCGCATTCATTGGTTAGAAGTAAGAAATAACGCGATGGTTGCATGAGGACAAATTTTCGCGTTGGATCAATTGTTCGTTTTGTTTGCACGGAACACAAGCAGAACTAATTCGGGTTGGCTTAGGTATTTTTATCCTTACAGAACTTAACATTGCTAGAAAATTTTTCACATATCACAAGGCGTCTAATTTTAGATCCTACAAAAAAACTAGCCCAAGTAACAAAACTTTATTATAAGTGTAGCCAGCCAAAAAAAAAAGTCGAAAAGCTCCACAGAAAAAAAAAGAAAAAAGAAAAGACACATCTAAATATCCAACTTTTGTATATACAGTAAAAAAGGAATTGATAAGAGAGATATAGTTTAACAGCGTTTGGAGAGAAGCATCATTCTATATAAAAAAAAAGTGAGAGAACGAACAATGGACAAGACAGGAGAAAAGGGAATATGGGGAGAGATACACTAGAGAAAAACTATTCACAAAGCAACTTTAAGAAAATGAGAAAAAGAAAAGTTTATACAAAGAAAAAAAAAAAAGAAAAGTTTAAAAATTATTTACATCTATCAAAAACCCGTCAGTTTGTAGAAATAGTATTGGGTATTCTCGATTAATAGTAGTAGTAGGGTTGAGCTTCACGCTTGTAGTAGTAGTATGGGGTGGCTTCGGCGTCACGCTTGTAGTAGTAGTAGGGAGTGGCTTCGGCGTCACGCTTGTAGTAGTAGTATGGGGTGGCTTCGGCGTCACGCTTGTAGTAGTAGTATGGGGTGGCGTCACGCTTGTAGTAGTAGTATGGGGTGGCGTCACGCTTGTAGTAGTAGTAAGGGGACGCTTCTGCGTCACGTTTGTAGTAGTAGTAAGGGGACGCTTCTGCGTCACGCTTGTAGTAGTAATAGGGTTCTAAGCATTATAAAAAAAAAGAGAATCGTATATGATCGAATTTTCAGTTATAGAAAATCAAACGATTCAAGAATCACTTTACATACCAGCGACCGCTGAAGCAACAAACAAGGTAACCAAGACGCAGAGTGCGGTAAATTTCATTTTTTTTTTTTGTTTTATTGAAGTTTGCAGTGAGGTGAGGAATCTTGAGGATGAAACCTCGGTGGTTTATATAGATGTTTCGATGTATAGCTTGCATATAATTAACAAAATTGTTTTTTGAAGTGTGAAATCGATTTTTTGTTCCAAAGCCACTACGCCACGTTAATGTTAGATTTTTCGCCATCCGTGCATAAATATTGATGCTACAAGCCCCAAATCAAACAATTTCTTTATTATGAATTTCATGTAGCCACAAATTTTTAGATAGTGAAAAACACTACTATTTAGACGTACAAACAATAAGAAATGTATCTTTCTTTGTACTTTCCAAATATTGGATGAGGCGAAGCACAGCGAGGTTAAAAGTATTTGCCATTTAAAAAAAATGCGGTTGACAAATCCACGGCAAATCCATGATAAAAGGAAAAATTAATTTCGCGAATTTCGCGACAGCCATTTGCTCGCCACCATTAAATCATGCCAAATGTATTATTCATTGTTAGTCTGAAAAAAGAAAAACGGCTGTCAAATTCGAGATGATAAATTTTACAGCGGAGAAGCCTCGCGTTTTGCAAAAATCTGTGGCTTTAAGGTTGGCTTGGTGTTTAAAGTAACCATTGTTGACCGATAAAATGTCTAATCATTCTAAATCTACGTCGACAAGCCCTTCCAGCAAATCAACATTAGTTAATCATTATTAAGGTCGTATTAAAAAGCGCAGTGGGAAAGTGTTGAATTCAATATTTTTCATACAATTTTTTGTATGTTTGAACACCGTAAATTTGCAAAGCCCAAATAAATAATATCTTGTTATTGGTGCGGAACTTTAATTTTCAAGTTCAGATGATGATATATTATCTTCGTCTTCTATAATCGTTACTCGATTGGTGTTCTCAAAGAGTTCGCCAGAGCCATCTTCATTATTTGATCTTTATTTTAAACAAAGAGACCAATGTAAGTTTTTCCATTGAACAATATACAGTAGGAATCTTAAATTACCTGGGGGTATTATTATCATTGATTTGCTTTGGGTTCTCAAATTCAATGGGCCTTTGTTGAATTCAATCGCGTTATAACAATATAGTGTCATCACGAAAATCTTCATAGACGATGAGTGATTTTACTAACCATATTCCTTCGGACTTTAAGTATTTTATGTGTTCTGGGAATAAAACATGCACGATGTCACCGCCTATCTTACTAGAATTTTCAGACTCTGAGGGCGATATAATTACATAACTTCCTAACACAAATGTCAAGTCAAAATGAAATGATCCAGTAAAAAAAAAACAATGACCCTCTTTTAAGTGAAAAGAAAGGAATAAATTAGGTACCGCGCTTAACCCACACAAGATTACGAAATTTTGGAGGTAAGGAACACAGTGTAATGGTCCCGTCAGGAAATTGTACTTCATGGAGATTTTTTCCACGACCACCTAAAACTCGAGAAATTTTTTGTGATTCAGTTGGAATCGGATTTGACGTGAGAATCTGACTTGTTGTCTTCTGCTTTCGACCCATTTCCTTTCGAAATGATAGAATTTATGATCTCCAAAAAAAGCTTTTACAATGTAATTATCAAGATCTGCACGCGGCATCATGGTGTGGATCGTCATATGTTGATTTCAGACGTCACGTATTTGGGATCCTTTCTGTTAAACGAAATCTAGTTTCACTCTAATTTACAATAAGAAAGAGATGTCCGAAGCTCGTCAAACGACATTGCCTCCCCACGCGCCGCCGACCGAGAGTACAAGGACCGGAGTGTACCATCCTACGCTTCTTGAAATACAAGGGGATTCGATTTCTGCAACAGCCCGGCAATATTGGCAGACAAAAGATTCTGCTTCTAGGGAATGGGATCCGAAAATTGTTGAGAGGATTTATCGTCAGGAATTAGAACAAAATCGGTTTGAAACTAAAAAACTGATGTTGCTCGAGTTTAGTCAATATTTAGAAAAGGTACGGCTTTGTTTTACGCACTCAATAATATCTTCCCGTCAGTCGCAAATTATGGGATTTTTCTCGAATTTTTAGTATCTTTGGCCGAATTTTGACGGAGAAAACGATTCTCTGGAGCATGTATTATCTATAGTGCTAATGGTTAACGAAAAGTTCAGAGAACGAGTGGCTGCATGGGGTATTTTATTCACGATGCCTAGTTTGATACACTTTGAGATTTGGGAGAATAATGAACAAAATTCGATTCCAATTTCGAGCAGATAGCTTTGTGAATTTGCCTGATCAGTTTCCAAAGTTTTTTATGCGTGTTCTCCGTCTCAGTGTTTCGGATACTCTGACACTACAAGTTAGAAGATTCATTCTTGTTTTCTTGATTCACGCCTTTCAAAGCCTGGAAAACCCTCTGTTAAGGACGGAATGCATCATGTAAGATTTTGTATTTCTTTTCTTTTCTTTTCTTTTTTTTCTTTTTTAATTCACGATATTGCTTTTCTGATTAACTTTTAACTATCTGTTATGTTTCAATAGTTTGGTTTCGCTTGTAACGTGGCATTGTTTCGGGCTGGCGTCATTGCGGGAACAAGAGTTCGCGTCAAACAAAAATCTTAAAAAGCAATGGAAAGCTTTTGAGAAAAAATATAAAAATGCAGGTATTCAATAGTTCTTGGTTGGTAAATGTTAATATTTTATTTGACTTGTTATTAAGAATTTGTAATGTGTGGTTAATGAATAATAATAATATCTACAATTTATTTAAAGATGATATGCAGAAAGAACGGCTGCGATTTCAAAGAACTTGGATCAGCAATTACATGAAAGGATTTGTGGAGGTCTTGTATTCGATACCGGAAGCTGAGGACGGTAATTTATGTTTTATAAAAATTTTAATTAATTGTTCGGTATGGTTCAAGCGTACGAGCGATTTTAATCTATTTCTCGGCATTAGTGGATCAGGATAAAGTCGCGTATTGTGAACGTTTCCTAGAATTCTTAATTGATCTTGAAGCCCAACTTCCGACGCGGAGATATTTTAATACACTTCTCGAAGACCACCAAATATTAGTCTTATGTAAATTATCACCGTTCGTTAGGCGTAAAGAAGGAAGGTTTGTGATGATCGCTATTTTCTCAACATCACGTGCTTCATATAGATTACTTATCGTCAACTTGTACACTCGATACTCTTAGCGAGCTATTCAAAAAGTTGTTGGATATATTGAAGTTTTATGTTGGATTTGAAATTCACGATCACACTGGGCTAGCATTAACGGATGATGAGATGACGGAGCTACACTGTAAGAAGTTGACAGCGTTGCAGGTAACTGAGAATACTTTTTCATCCGTGTCTTATCACTACTAAGTCATGGGATTACCCGAATAACCTTTGATCGATTCAATTTAGCGCATCGCGTTTCAACATTTCAAAGATTCCCTGCAGTTGTTGGCTCTGTCGAACCTATCTTCCATCGAAAACCGTGAAGATTTAATAAGTCATTTTGGCCCTCTCGATATTAAAGAAATCATACGCCTATGCGAACTCCTAAATATAAGGTACAACAGGTTGGGTGATGATGGTGTATATGACAAGGAATTCTTGCTAGAGGTCCTGATCGGAAAATTCGAGAAGAGAGTGAGTCAGATTGATGCAATTAACTCTCTTCCTTTATATCCTGATGAGGTTTGTATCTTTGTGTTATTGTTATTATGTTATTCACAAATACGAATAACGACCTACACAAATTCGTTATCATACCGTTAGAATACACTATTTGATGAAGCAGTCGTGACAACTCAATTTTACTCTGGTGATGCACCGCTGGCGCTTCCAAAGCTTAACTTACAATTTCTCACCATTCACGATTATTTATTGAGAAATTTTAACTTATTTCGTCTCGAAAGCACCTATGAAATTCGTCAAGACATTGAAGACGTGGTCAAGCGTTTGGCTCCGAGAATAACCTACCCTTCTGGTAAAACGGAATTTACAGGGTGGGCACGTGTGGCTGTGGAAGTGGAGCGATTTAAGCAAGTTACTTTTTTTTTGTCCCGATGTGGCTTCTTGTTTACGCTGTTCACCCCTAATTGATTGTGAATAATAGCATCGTGGAAATTTCTAAACCGAATCTTGGTGAAAACAAACCATCACAAGTTAAGGCAGACGTAAGAGGGTATTTCGTCAACACGGTAGTGCCTTTGATTAGGACCTGATAGTAAACTGATATTTAATATATAGGTGACTTACGATCTTGGTCGATATACGGATTCTATTCGGAACGAATGGGATTCTTTGAGACAACATGATGTATTGTTTCTGCTAACGATTCAAGCCCACGACAGTACAGCTGATAAGTACAAAGATGATATGCCTTTCAGGTCAGTATCCATTCCATGTTCTTCTAGAATCACGGTGATCTTTTTTTTTCAACGTAGTCTAACTTGCGCCTGGGGATCCATTAACATTAGACCACATTTTGGCTTAAAATATGTCAGAGGGGTTGAAGTGAGCGATATCATTGGTGATGATGGTAAGAAAAAAATTTTCTGCTCGATATAACATTGATTTTTTAAATAAATATATATGTTTTTTTTTTTTTTTTAAGGAAAACCCATTGACGAGATAGGCAAACCACGGGTGGATGATCGTAGGCCCAAGATTTCTGGAAATACAAGGACTCTCCGTGTACTATTGGACACAAACCAATTCAAAGTAATGTTAGTTTATTGTGAATACACGTGGATGTTATTTAGATAAATATAAATATTAACCATTTCATGACGTAGATGGATATGGATAGGTATTCTCGCGTGAAAGACGAAGATGTATACGAGACTTTTAACGTTTTGATGAGGAGGAAGCCAAAGGCAAGCACCTGTGCTGTCGACGCATTTTTAGTGTCTATTAATTGCTTACTTTTTGATTATCGTTGTTATTGGATTTTTTTTTTTTTTTTCTTTTTTTTTACTATCAAGGAAAATAATTTTAAGGCTGTGCTAGAAACTATTAGAGATTTGATGCAGAGTGAATTGGTGGTTCCCGAATGGCTACACAACGTTTTCCTAGGTTATGGTTTCCCCGACAGCGCACATTACACTATGATGCCAAATTTACCTAAAGAGATAGATTTTCGGGATACCTTTTTGGATTACGATCATCTTGTTAGCAGTTTTCCCGGAAAGGTAGTTGGACTATTTCAGTCTACAGATTATTATTTGATAACACTCATGAGCGATATTAAATATAGGAAGTGTTGCCAGAGAAAGAATATAAAGCACCCATCCCACCACCCTATATTCTTCGATTTCCGGAGGCTTCGAAAGAAAAGAATGACGAAAATTCCGAAAGGATCACTGTACGAACATACACCATGCCGAATATGGGTCCTTATCCATTCAATATACCAAGAAGAAACTCTGTTAGGTTTACACCTAGGCAAGGTAAAATTTTATTTGACGTATAAAATCTCATCCGGAATTTACTATTTTGTGTGCAACGTGAGAATTGATATCTTGCATTTTAGTGGAAGCCATTAAATCCGGAGTAAATCCCGGTTTGACCATGGTAGTCGGTCCTCCGGGTACTGGTAAAACCGACGTGGCAGTTCAAGTTATTGCCAATCTTTATCATAATTTCCCTGACCAACACACATTGTTGGTCACTCATAGTAACCAGGCACTTAACCAATTATTCGAAAAGATTTTGGCGCTTGGTAATTTTCCTCTTTTTTTTTTTTTTTTTTTTTTTTCGACATCTCGCTCTAACATTTCGCGTCTGACGCGAACGTAAAGATGTCGACGAGCGTCACTTGCTTCGTTTAGGTCATGGCGAAGAGGAATTAAACACTGAATTGAGCTTTAGCAAATATGGTCGTGTTAATTCGTTTTTGGTAATTGCACACATTATTCGTATGCATGCTGTTTCTTCGGTGTAGCGGGATGGCCATGACAAAGATATCTAATGTTCTTGTAGGAGAGACGACTCACCTTGTTGGAAGAAGTAGATCGCTTAGCTAGATCGTTGGAAATTGGTGGGGAACACGGGTATACCTGTGAAACCGCCGGTTACTTTTACCTATACCATGTCCTGTCAAGATGGGAACCTTACATTGATAAGTGTCGTCAAGGATCAACTAACGGCAATGTTGAAGTCGAAACAATTCGCAATGAATTCCCTTTCACGAATTATTTCTCGGATGCTCCTCAACCTCTCTTCTCGGAAGACGCTAGTTATGCTGAAACACTCGAGATCATTGAAGGGTGCTTTCGGCACATCGAAAAGACTTTCACTGAATTAGAAGAGATACGTGGGTTCGAGCTATTGCGAACGAGCTACGACCGAGCAAATTACTTGTTAACCAAAGAGGCCAAAATAATTGCTATGACTTGTACACATGCTGCTCTTAAGGTTTGGAGGAAATGGAGTTGCAAAAAATATGCACTCTGTGTGAGTGTGGTTTACCGAATCTTTAATAATCATCCCTTCTTGTTACGTATGGTTAGAGACGCGAACTGGTTTCACTGGGATTCAAATATGATAATGTATTGATGGAAGAAGCAGCACAAATTTTGGAAGTCGAGACATTTATACCATTGCTGCTTCAAGAAACCGAAGACGGAAGAAGCCGACTGAAGAGAGTCATCATGATCGGTGATCATAATCAGTTACCACCAGTTGTCAAGAATATGGCATTTCAGCAGTATGGTAACATGGAACAAAGCTTGTTCACAAGATTTGTTAGATTGGGAGTTCCAACCATTGATTTAGATGCTCAGGTGAGTAGTAGAAAAGTTTTTTTCGCGACTATATTTCACCACTCATTCACCTATTTTCAACATCAAGGGTCGTGCAAGGCCGTCAATCGCAAAATTGTTCAATTGGCGGTATAATAATTTAGGAGATCTACCTGTCGTAATTGAGAATGGCGAGTATAGGAAATCAAATGCAGGGTATGTTGTAGAAATATGATTTTGTTTTCTGTACCCTTACACCAGGGAGATTCTTCTAAAGGGAAAAAAATTTTTTTGTCAGATTCACTTATGATTACCAATTAATAAATGTCGAAGATTACATGGGCAAGGGTGAGACAGAACCCGTGCCTTACTTTTACCAGGCAAGCATCTCGTAAATATGGAAAAATCTGCTGTAACTTTTTCGGATGAATTTACCATTCTTTCCCACCCATTTAGAATCTTGGAGAAGCCGAATATGTTGTTGCGGTTTATCAATACATGCGCTTACTGGGGTAAAAATTTAACAAAGAGCTAAGCGATTTTCTTGAATTATACTGTATGTTAAAAATTGATACCTTGACACAATAGGTACCCTTCCGAAAAGATTTCGATACTTACAACGTACAATGGTCAAAAAGCATTAATACGGGACGTTTTGCGCCAACGATGTTCGTGGAATCCCTTATTTGGTCGTCCGGCAAAAGTAACAACTGTTGATAAATTCCAAGGACAACAAAATGACTGTGAGTACTAGGATGTCTTGATCAACTTTTTTTTTGTCGACTATCATTGACGATACATTAATGCAAGCTTTTTGTCCGCAATTTAGACATCCTGCTTTCGTTAGTACGAACAAAATCCGTCGGACACATTAGGGACGTGCGACGTCTGATTGTTGCAATGTCTCGTGCACGCTTGGGACTTTATGTTTTTTGTCGACTTGCTTTGTTTGAAAATTGTTACGAGCTGACACCTGCTCTCAACAAATTGTTGGAGCGCCCGACGCAACTGATGTTGAAGATTAACGAAATGTGGCCTTCGGATAGAGATGTTGTTTTCTTTTCTTTTTTTTTTTTTTTTTTTGTCCTACGAAAGATTTTCGAAATTAAATGACACCCTTCACACTTCAAAATTCTAGGTCAACGACCAAAGCGATCCCTTCACTATCGCCGATGTGACGCATATAGGAAAATATGTGTATCAGATGATGCAAGAACAGTTAACATTTGCAAAACAACAAAAAGCCCACATGGATTTAGATACCAAAACGGAGGTAGACCAGGACGAAGGAGATGACCATTGATTTGAACGTGGCATCTTTCCATCGAGATTGTTTTATTTTCACATTGTATACTTTGACAAGCAGAAGATAGGAAATCGACAAGTAAAACCTCAAAAGGGGGTAAGGAAAAAATGAAGAGACAACTTTTCTAGGATATTATAAGATCAATTCATCTTTTAAATCAATATAAATTCCTGTGATTTCGTGTATTTCATCTTTACGAACGATCCAAGAAAAGCGATTCGATTGCAACTAAGACTCTTGATCCGATTTTCAGGATAGAAGAGTTATTAAAAAGATATATTCGTTAGACGAATATAACGCGTATTGTGTTCGGCGATTTTCTGGTCAGAGATTTATTCTTGAATGTAAAATTTTCGAGATCAAGTATTTCATACTTCACACAATAAAGTGATCCCGATTCGCTCACTCATTTGGTTTACATTTGACGAAAGACCCCACCGCTATAAAATCGCTTGCAGTAATTTTCAGCTAGATGCGCATTTACTTTGTGAAACAAAATTACCAAACAACGTTTATTCATTTTTCCAGTTTGCGCTGTAGCAAGATTCTGTTGCAAAGATATTTCGATCGAGATCATATTTATTAAACCTTTTGAATGACATTGATATGTAACTTTAATGAATAGTTCAATCGAAAGTTGTCAGGAAGGTGAGCTTCAATTTAAACCATACGAAGGTATTCGCCGTAAATGTCGTCGCGAAAATAACAATTTTTCATTTCCTCCTTTCCCATTTTGAATTATCGATGGAACGTCCAACTCTTGTATAACCATGACCTCTGACAAAGTTATTTTGGGACTATCAGATAATACAAAGTAAATTACCCGAAGAACCTGCCCATGACAACAATAAGATATCAGAATGCCATAGTTCGTCATTCACCAAGACACTGGTGGTGGACACCGGAGATACTGTAAGTCATCGTTAAAGCCTTCAAAATTGCAAAAAAAATTTTCGATGATAGACAACTTTTCTCCAATGATGACGGTATTTTTCGAATGTCGAGAATTCATTGGGATGTTATTTATCTCGGGAACCTGCCTGCATCAATTGTCTCAGACGGCCGAGAATCATTTTCCACAACAAACCTTTGCCATTTCCATCCAAACGTTCAACGAAAGAGTCACGATTTATTCGTTGATCCCCAATCAAAACTTTTGAGTATTAATGACAATTTTTTTGATGCCGTAACCGTGTCACCGCCTAACCTTGGAGATATCCTTGATCTTCGCATTTTTTACGTTAACGTCGAGAACTTTGACCTTTTGACACTTCCAAATTACAGATTCCATCTCATCTTCGAAAGTATTTTCTCCTCCGGGCATCCGAAGTTGTCGCTTCCGAAATCACCGCCGCCGACCCCCCTCACTATCCTCATTCCAATCGGCCAAAAAACGCGGTCACCCCACAGAAACTTCTCTCACAGAAAAAAACGTCAGTGACGATAAAGAAAGGAAATCGAAATTTAAACGTCGTCGAAAACGTCACACCAAAAATAGCGTGACAACTTAATTAGACAGATCGAGGAATTGGAAAAGATGAAGTCGGAGAATATCAAGGAATTAGAAAGGCAATTGCATGCAACGCTTTTTGTGAAATTTCAGACATTTGATTCATTACTTGCAGTTTTCATAACCTTGGTAATATATATAGCAAATATAGTAGTAGCCACTTTGTCAATTTACTTGAAAATAATTTACTCCTTGACCATAAACATAAAAATCACTTGGTTGATGATCATCGAATTAAAATCTTTGCGATTGAAGAGAATATTTTAAGAAAAATTTTTTTATTTTGCAATTACGCGATCCTCCCAAATGAACAACACGTTGACGTAGGATAAGTCGGCCAGATCACAACCTATACAAAAGCATGTACATCAATTTGCATCGATCATTTTTGCGCTCTCAAGCTAAGAATATGATAATTATAATTCATCCATCGAGCATAGGTGACGGCTGAAAACCGTATGATGCAACGTATTTCTTGATCTTACTATTCACCCGGGGATTGACCTGTCGTCTCCCTAATTTGCACCGAAACTTTCTGGGAAGTCTGTCGGTTGAACCGCTTTCGAATATTCGCACCAGTTTTGGTAAAGGCCGGCCTTCAAAACCTGGTCGATGTTCTCTGGGCTAATCGACATGGAGATACGTGAGAATAAATTAAAGGTCGAACGGTCAATGGTGATGATAACTTCGTACCCGAATCTTGATGCTCTCTATCGATTCCACATCATCTTCATCCTTTATAAATCCATTTTCCTTCTCTGTTCTTTTCGAAAATGAATTTATATATTCATCCTCCCCTTTTATGAATGTTCCCTCCATTTCCACATCTGTTAGATCACCTTCACTCTTTTCATCTTGATCCTCCATTTTGATTTCCCCTTGATCTTCTACGCTCGTTCCATTTTGCAATCTCCGTAAGAATTCGTCAACTGTCGGGTATAACTCTTTTCTAAAAAAGAGGGAAAGAGAAATGAACAATTCAAATTTACGTCGATCGTACCCGCGATAGGCTTTCCAACAAATCAGTGATTAAGACGCAAGTAAATCTTTACCGTTCTTCCTCGGACAATGACTCCATGAACTCCCTTATTTCGGCCCCTTCCTCCTTGACTTCGATTAATTTATCATATTTAGATATATACGCAATTATCTCGTCATGATTCACCAATCGTTTCTCCGTTAATTCTTGCATCTCTGATTCTAGACGCTGATGATCCCAATTGTTTTGTTGCTGACTAATTATTAGAAAATATTCTATATGATTTAATCGCTCTTCAAAGTTGAGATACCAATGGTTCAAGCAGAAGAAATAAGTAGTAAAAAAAAAGATCAAATACTAAGAGAAAAAAAACAAATGCTTTTTTCACATGATAACTAACCTTATTTGAAGGATGAATTGATCACTGTGGTTTTGAAGATTGTTTTCCTCGTCGATAATGGACACTTGCTCACCGGATTTTTCCAAGTTATTCTGTGTGAAAGTAAACATTGGACTATTCGAAAAAACCAACAGATATGCGATTATAATGGTTTGATTCTCAAAAAAAATGAGAATTTTTTTTTCTGACCAATCGTCAAAATTTTTTTTTATGAAAAAATTTTTCAATAAATGATCTGCATAATGCAGATGATGGTGATTTGATGCGTATTTCTTTTACGAAGGCATGAAGGCATTTGGTTAAGTTTATGATCATGTGATTTGCTTTATAACTCACCATAGAACCACATGACGCGACTGATTTGACAATTGTTTCTTCTGTCAGTACACCCGATTTAGTCATCAGCCTAACAACTGATATTTCACGAAATGTATGTATGCAATATGTCGGACCATTAACGATGAACGCCCAGTCTGTATGCCTCATTTTTATTCTCTTCTACGGTGTGCAGAAATATCTGTATTTATTTAGCTTATTGCATAGTATACAGTATATAAGATAAGATATTTACAAATTATGAATTTTTACATATTAACTTCTATTCATTTCTAGAAACAACTTAGGAAATGACATTTTGCTTCTTTTCTGGCTTGAATTATTCTTTAATCAATAAGATTATTGCCTACAGTTCATTATTGTAAATTTTCTGAAGTTTTATTTGCAAGTTAAAATATTAATTATTTTATATCTTCACATAACACTTTTAAATAATTCTTGCGTCATTAAAAAATTCTTTTCTATTCCTCTTTATTTTATAAAAATTTCTTTTTTGAATAAAAAAATTTTTTGATTTCACATAGAACTATGTGATTATGCAATAAATAAAATCTGAGACATATTTATATTATATAAAGTTTTTTACTTGTCTTACAAGTTTAAAAATATCTTGTTTAAAAAATATGAATGAATTTGAACTTTATATATATATAAATTTACAACAAAACGAAATTTATTCTTTTGAAAAAAAGAATACCTTTTAAAACTAGATTTTATATTGTATTTATCTAAATATTATAAACAAGTATAGTTTGGATCAAAAATAATTGAACAAAAAATATTTTTATAAAATATATCTAATTTCTTTCAAGAAATATTTCAACTTTGCTACAAAAACTGTTTCAAATTTTTACTTAGTTAATAAAGTTAAGAAAAATCTATTTAATAATCAAAAATAAATAATAATAATACTAAGAATGATTATAATATCTTGTAATCTTTATTGTGATTATATAAATTTATTTAAAAAAAAATCAATAATATAATTAGAAAAATATTCTATATTTATTTATATATATAGCAATAGACCTGGATCAATAGTACAGTAGATGCACTCTTGGGTTACCATCCATAAGTTATCAGTTCAATCCCACTTAAGAATAGAAATCACAATATATAGATTATATTGTATAGAATATATGCTTATCAACCACATATATTTCTGTATACACCCAACCTATCAAATATCACTGTCTAATTATAATGTAATAAAATAGGTTACATAGGTCTTAATCAATTTTAGTATTAAGATAAAAAAAACTATAATGTCCATATCACCTGGAATATGTGAAACTATCGAAAGAACATTAGAAATAATAATGATCACCTCAAAATCCTACTAGTCTAATGAGAAATCTACTTCTTCTCAAATTACTATACTCATGGATAATGATAAAACACAAAATATTTAGTATATAAAATTTTATAAATTACTTATGTTCCTTTTTGAGGAACAAAATTTATAGCTCTTCACTTTAATAGGAACAAAAGTCAGGAAATACTATAAATCAATAATTTAGATAATGAAGAACAATTGTAGATAGTTTTTTTATAGTTGCTAATTTAAAAATTTTAATATTTCCTAATGAGGAACATTTGACTTTGGTCTTTACCTCTCTCTTTAGGAACACATTTTTACTCATGAAAGATATTGAAAAACTTTGGCCATCTGTATCAGTCACGAAAGTTAACAAAGGGACAGAGCTTATTTGATATGAAATTGTGAAGAAGCAAAGTACTCATAATAGGAACTGTAAAAGACTTTATTTCAATAAGTCAGTGAACAATTGTTATTTGATCAACAAGCAACAAAGTTATTTTATTTCAGGAGAGGCTTTTCCTCTCTATATAAAAATCTGGCCTAAAGTACTTTTTAGTTAAAATAATATAAATAAATCTATAAATACAATAATTAAAAATACATAAATCTTGACATAACGGATGTCCAGACTTATGGGGCTATAATATAACTTAAAAAAAAAAAACAAGAAGAAAAATAATAATAATAAAAGAAATCTATTGGTTCACGCTACTACTGTTTACAGGACTAATTTTTATTCTGGGAAAACAAGCCAAATTGACTATAATGAAAGGCATTCAGCCTGGGATCGCTAAAGATGATCTCAGATGATGTTATACGGAGTGTCCAAAAATAGTAGACAGGGCGGACTTCGGATCAATAGTCACACAGAGTCATGTATACTTACACAGAATTGATGGGGGCAGGTGCGGATTCGTTACAGGAACCATAGAGATAGATGTGTTTGGGAGAAGCTTAAGGTCTCATTTGATTAAGAAAAACCCCTATAAGCCATCTTTAAAGAGTAGTTAAAAATAATTACTGGAAGACTCAAGTTATCACAAAACTTACTATTGGTCACCAAGGCTTGATATTTGACCATATAGAGACTGGAATATCAAGTAATCTAATCTCTAAAGAAATTAAATATAGCAAGTACAATATATAAGATTCAAATATACCCTCAATACAAGAACCAATTACATTCTAAGAAATATACAACAAACAAATACCTTCTGAAATAAAAATAATAGTTTCTAGTGACTTTTTCAGAACACTAGGTATCCAGGCATAACAGAGCAGCTGATAAAGATAGTACTTATTAAAATGGATAAAATTAGGTTGGATTGAATACAAAGGGATAGTATGGGTAAATAGATATAAGTCAGGTCTTTTGTACTTTAATTTATACTTCTCAAATAAATTCAAATCAATAAAGCTCAATCAGTATGACTAATTAAAAAAAAAAATATATATATATATATAGTAATAATTTATAATAAATCTTAGATTTTTATTAAAACTCTTTCCGCTGATTCTCTGCCCACACACAAAAAAGATATTTGCAAGAAATTTTTTATTTCTTTGCTAATAAAGTCTTAATACTATCCTTAA